CTGGCCAATCTCGGTGCGGTCGCCGGCGGGAAAGAGCGTCAGGTCTTTACTCAACGCGCACGCGTCCAAGACGGCGTTGTATCTTTTCCGGTCGTACGGCTTGCCAAAGAGGATGTTGTCGCGGATCGTGAGGTTCTGGATCCACGCCTGCTGCGAAAAGTACGCGACGTGCCCGCCCACGAAGAGCGACCCGTGGCGTTTGTGCATCTCGCCGAGCAGCGCCGACATGAGCGACGACTTGCCTTCGCCGACCGCGCCGTGGACTAAGACAAACTCGCCGCGCTTGATCTGGAGGTTGATGCCGTGGAAGAGCGGCTTGCCACTGACGTCCCATGCAAACGTGGCGTCGGCAATCTCAATGTCAATCTTCTTTTCGGCATACGCGTTGAGTTCCGACGTTGAGATGGTTTCGGGTGTCTTGACGACATCATTGTCCTTCTCGTCCATGTTGAGAAACTCCATGATGCGCTTCAGCGCCACAACCGCCTGCATGAGGTTGGCGACGATCTGCGGCAGAAACATCATCGGGCCGCGCAGCAGTGTGAAGAGGGAGAGCGCGGTAAAGACCGTCGCCGGCGTCAGCGACTGGCGCATCACGAGCGCGTAGATGGCGAGCGAGACGATCGAGACGACGACGGGCGCTGCGTACAAGAGTGCGACGAACCACGACTGCAGCACAATGATGTGATGCATCGTACGTAGCTCGGCGTCCCGGAGCCGCGTCAGCTTGTCGCTGAATTTCTCTTCCCACGCGTTGAGCTTGATGACCTGGATCGACCCAAAGACCTCGTGGACGACCTTCATGCGCGCGTCCTTCTGCGCCATGAGCGTCTTGAATGCGTTGCGCTGGGCGTTGGCGAGCACATGGTTGGCGGCGAGCGTGAGTACGATGACGCCGGCGCCGACAAACGTCGACCAGCCAATGACGCGGTACAGCATGGCCAAGATGACGACGACTTGGAGTGGAATGAGCCAGATCTGGTTGGACGCCGCGGAAAAGGTGATGATGGTCTGGATGTCGGTCGAGAAGAGGTTGGCGAGCTCGCCGGCCGTTGTCGCCTTGCGCGCCGAGGCGTCGAGCAGCAGCGCTTTCTGGAAGAGGAGGTGCTGCAGCGCCGACGTGAGCTGGACGGTCACGAGCTGGTTGGCATACGTCGCGTGGGCCGTCAGCAGCGCTTGCAGCGACCGCACGAGAAAGAGCGCAACGATCGTCCCGAGCACGTACGTGACGTCCATGGCCGGGCCCGACTCGACGGCGACGAGGATCTGCTGGAGCACGATCGGGCCATACAAGGTGCAGCCGACCGTGATCGCTTGGACGAGGCCGATGACGAGGAGGCGGCCACCGTACACGGAGGCCACAGCACGGGCAATCGAGCGGGTCGACCGGAAGGCAGGCTCAAAGGCTGCGCTCACGGTCTTGCACTGCAATCGCGCTTCGAGCGGCCAAATATCGTCGGGCTGCAGCTGGCGGTCGTTGCCGAGCGACAGCAGTGGCTGGACCCACGCGTAGACGGCGCGGGATGCCCAGGACGCCGCCGCCGACGGGTGCGTGCGGTGCGACGGCGGTAGCTCGGCCTCGATCGAGTGGTACCGGGCCATCGATCGGCTGCTCGATGCGGCGCGAATGCAGAAGTACTTACGCAGCTGGAAGCTCGTGCGTCACCGAAACGACAGTGGGCTCGTGCAATTTCGAATCCTGGGTACACTGTATTTTCCGGACACACACTATTTGATTCCATTTGCGTTCCTTCAATAATACAAGCGCCCTACGGTACGCGGGCAACTGCTGTGGTCAGCCCAAGGGAAATTCCCTCGTTTCGAGCCACACCAGATACCGTGCCTCGTCCAACACCGACCTCTACACGTCCAACCGGCGGCTGCAACTCGGGGCAACGTGGTCGGCCACTCGCACTGGCCCTCGCGAGGGGGAGTGGCCGCCATCCTAGAAGTGGTCGACGCCCTTCCACCATGCACGAAGAAGCAAGGGAATGCAGTCTACCTCGTCTGCGACGGCGCGGTAGCCATCGGCGGCATGAAACGGCAAACACACACTATTTGCGTGCATCAACGACGTTCAAGTTCAAGTAAAAGTCGTTGCCGGAGATCCAAACGAAGACGACAACGCAAAGGGAGATGCCGACGCCACTGTCGCCAGCCTGGCGCCATCCTCGGAGACAATTCTCCGAGACAACCATCGACGTCTTCTTCTTGCTGCTCCTCCGCTGGCAACCGTACGAGGAAACGGTGCACGCATCTCCACTCCCCGGCTGCTGAGTTCGCGCGCACCTCACACCCTTTTCGCCGCCTCTCCTCGCCGTTGGAACCCGTTCATCGATACTACCGACTCTGCACGGCTCCAATTTTCCGAGTCGCGCTGCCCACATACATGCGTAGGTCGCTGCTACGTGCTTGACGTCAAGGCGCTACTTCGCGATAGCAGCCATCATTACGTGCAGCACGTACCGGCTTGTGTCACTTGCCACTTGCGGCGAGGTGGCACGTTGCAGCTGTCCTATGAGTAGCCAAGTAGCTTTGCACAGTGGGACTGGACAGTAGCTTTCGGTCTAGTTTCTGGCGTTTTATCCACCCGTCCACAGTACTTCCTCTGCAAGCCTCTGCAGCCCGGTGCTCTTGCTTGCATCGAGCGTGATTGTCGGCGCCAATCGCGTTGCAGAGATGTAACTTTGCGTAGAACAGTACGTGAGAGTTGCAAGAGCCAGGGAGGCATTTGCCATTTACGTCAAGTGCATGAAACATCCTATCAGTGCTTGGTCGAAACAGATTGTGGGCTATTTAAGGCCACGACATGGGTCTCGATGATGATGATGCGGGGCTCGGGCTGACCATCGGCCGCGCTGAGGCTGTCGCTGTGACGACGACAGCAGCTCCTTTGTCGTATGTTCAGCGCATCCGCAAGGCCAAGGTACATCGCGGAAAGCCCCATCTGCCGACACCGCAGGCACCGCCAATGGCCGTGCGGCGCAAGGTGCGGTCGCCGCCCGTTGACGAGCCTGCGCTGGAAGACGAGCCAATCGCGATTGAGATCCCTGGACCGAGCTCGACCCTCGTGCGCCGTGTGACGCTTGTAGATACCATCTCGCAGCGCAAGCGAGCCGGAGGCAACCTTCGCTCCGCCAGTGTACGTGGCCTGACAACACACCTGAGATGATGTATTCATGGGTGCGGCATGTAGACGTCCGAGATGACAGGCAACCAAACCACCGAGTCCCCGCATTTGCATCGATCCCAGAGCGACCACCTGCCGTACGACGGCAACGACGACGACGACGACGATCCTTTGACACCGCCGAGTTTGCAGTTGGCGTCGCCGCCCCGGCCACCAACCGCGCTACCCGCCACAGTGCCGTTGATCGACCTCAGCCGTGGCTACTCGCGCACCAACCGTTCGATTTGGACGAGTGCGCAAGCCAAGGCCAAGCTCCCGCGGGCGGCGCCACCACGGTCCCTCACCTTGTCGGATGGCGCGGCGTCCGTGCACTCGGGCGACGTCACGTCGTCGCAGTTGGTGGCTGAGATGGACGTCATCAAGTGCATCATGGTGCGGGAAGCCCTCTTGGAGCGCTTTGGTCGGCTCGTCGCCCAAGTGGATGAAGCGGTTTTCCACGTCCGCGCCGCAATGACACCGGCGCCCATCAGCCGACGTGGGAGCCACCCGTCCGAGACGCCCTTGTCGTTGGAGCCGCCATCAAGTAGCAAGAAGGCAAAGCGCAAGGCCGAGTTGCAATCGCTCGTCGCCAAGCGCGACGCGAACGTGAGGAAGCTGCAGCGCGCGATGGCGGACCTCGTCCGCGTCCGTCCGACGTTTCAGCAGGCGACCATCGACGTTGTGCTGGCAATCGATGCATGGGCGACTCTGTTTGAGACGCCGGTGCGGCACGCGCTGCAAGGCTCGCCGCCGCGCCGACAGCACTTTGTCTACAGCGGCATCAACTACCTTCTCAAGATGCAGTCGGACGTGCGGCCGCTCTTCCGTGGCCTCGCGCTGCGCTTGCTCCTCGGGCGCGACGTGCGCCCGCATCCACTCCTCCTTGCATGCGACAGCACCGGGTTATCAAAGACGTTTTTAACAAATGTCTGCGACGACGACGACGGTAGCTACGCCTACGCGATGGAGCCGCATGCGGCCGACGCTATGTACCCGATCATCCTTCCACACTTGCGTTCGATCTTGCCGCCTGTTGATGGTATCGACACCAACGACCCACTCGTCGCCGCCGCGATCGACCGCCTCTTCGAGGAAGAATCGCGCGTGGCCGAAGACGACCGGCTCGCGATCGAGCGCCGGGATGTATATGTGGCCTCGTACGATCCGTTCAAGAGCATTCGCCAACACGAGGTGCTATCTCCATGCTACACGTGCGATTGCTCCAACATGTTTGTCTAGTCGGTCGACGATATCTTCAACGAGGTACTGGATGCGTCGAAAGAGATGGCGCTGAAGTGCAAGATGGCGCTCCGAGCCAAGCAAGAAGACCCTGCGCGGCTGCCTCCTGCGTCGGCCTCTCGGGCGCCCGCCCTCCGCGTCAACGTCCACGAGCTGGCGACCAAAGCAGCGGCCAAGCGCGACGCTCGCACAGCGTTTGTCGCGACCAAGCAGCGGGGCCGTGGCCACGTGCTCGTGCGGCGGCCACCTGAACTGGCGCGCCAGCACCCGCTGCAGCCACACGCGCTCAAAATCCAGGTGCAGTACCGCCGGTTCAAATCCCGCCTCGCCGTCCGCACCCAGCTCGTGCGGCTGTTGCAACGTGCGCACGACGCGGCAACCAACATTCAGGTGCGGCCCTTGACCTGCATTCTGGAATCCCACCGCAACGTGTAGCGGGTCTACCGCGGGCATTGCGCAAAAGGAGTCGCAACCATGATGAAGAACGAGCTTTTGGCAAGAACGTTCCTCGTGTTCCGGTCCGCGCGCAAGATTCAGCGGCAGTTCCGCATCTCACAGGCCATGAGCTACGAGCGCGCCAAGCAACAGTACCTCGAGGCCACCCGCCGGAAGGTCCAGCAAGCCGTGGCCATGAAGGAAGGCATGGAGCGCAAGATGACCGAGGTGTACCGCGCCATGGGCCGGCAGCGCCGCCTGGAGCGGTTCGCACAGGCCGAGCGCGCCAAGGCCGAGCACTTGCGGCAACTCCGCCTCAAGACGCGCGCGGCGATCGCGATTCAGAGCTGCTACCGCGGCTATGAGCACCGCAAAGCGCTTCTAATGATGCGCAACTCGGCGCTCCGCGCGCTGCAGACGACAGCCGCAGTTACGATTCAGTGCCTAGCGCGTTGTCTCCTCGCCAAGGTGCGGCTCAAGCAGCTGCGCTACGACCGCGACATGGCGCTCGTCCATCGATCCGCGACGGCCATTCAAGCGGCGTTCCGTGGCCACCGCTTGCGCCATCGCTCGCGGGTGTCCAAGAGTCGCAAAAAGTCGCAGTACCGCCGGTCGCCGGTTCGTCGGCGGGTGTCCATCTCGCCGAGTGCCAGTGGGCTGCCATCCGTGGCCAAGACACCTGCGCCGCCCAAGCGCCCGCGCCGGTCGCTGCTCACCGTGCCAGCCGAGCTGCAGAGTCCGCGCGACTACCTCCCACCGCTCCGCCGCCCGTCCCAAGCCTCGAAACGCGAAGAACTCAAACTCAAAGAACCAACCCTCGGCGATACGTTTTGAGTTTCAGCATAATATTATTATAATGGCGTCAGGGTTTCGTGCTTCGGTGCAGCTGCTGGCGCAAGGTGGTTTTCTAAAAAATCTTGGGAAAATATCGAACCCAAGGCGTAGTACCTGCGTCTCTTGCTCGTGCTGGATGGACGCCTGCAGCTTGGCCACGCGCTTGCGGTCGTCCGGCTCCTTGGCCTTGGCGCGCGGCCCCACGTCTGCCCAGAGCGCCTCCGTGTACGCGGCCAGCGCGCTCTGCAGCCGCCCGTCGTAGCCTTCGAGGAGCGTCGTGTCGCCGTCCATCGCCTCCAGCGCCGGTTCGGGTGATGCTATCAACGCTTCGAGGTCGGGTTCGCTCATCGCCGCCGGCGTCGCAAATGTCGTGCAGTAGTACTCGGGCGCCGCCTCAACAAGCGCGATCCTGCCAGGCGCGAGGCAGTACGCCTGTCCTTGCTGGTCACCGATGTGATAGACTACCTACGCGCATGGCAATGAAGCACTCATTTGGCTCGACAGCACGCCGCACCTGCACCCATGATATGGGTTCTCGTGGCAGCTCCAGGGATGCGAGCGCTGTATGAAGGTCGTCGACTGACGCGAGGTTGCGCCATTCGACCACGGAGGCGATCGTCGTTGGGGCCTTGGCAACCAAGACATGGCGGTGACGGCGTGCATTGGGCGGCGACATGCGGTCGTGGAATGCCATTGCAAGCCACGGCGTCGCGCACAGCACGAGCGGCATCGTCGTCGGCGCCACCAACGCGCCGTGCACGACACCAAATAGCAATTCGGTCGTCGTCGTCGTCGTCGTTGGAGGGCCTTGGCATCGGTAGACCTGCAGCACTTTGATGTCGTCCGCATCGGGCGTTCTCTGAACCAGTTTTAGAGCCACCAACGTTCCTCGAATGGATCGACGATTACCTGCGGCGGTGCGGCAAAGAGACTCGCAAGATACCGATGCTCGGGGCTCGCCCCATGTACGAGGTAAAAGACGTAAAGAGGATACGCCGCCTGCGCTGCAGCGACGGCCAGCGCGTGCTCTTCTTCGGCCGCGATCCGAGCGTCCAGTATCTTAAACATGGCCTCCTAGCACCTCAATCTTGCACGGTTCTATGCTTGGTAGAATACGGTACCGTGTGGGCGGCGGCCTCGGTCTCGCGACGTAGCATTGCGTCTACGTGGGCTGTATACTCGCTTTCAAGCGCCTCTAACGTGTGCTGGAGCGCCGTCGCGTGCTTCTCCCGCAGCAGCGCCTGGCGTGTCTCTTCGGCCGCGATGGCGGCCCGCCCTTTCTGGACACTCTCCTCGAGGTTCTTGAAGGCAGCGAGGAGCTCCTGCGCACTCGATGAACCAGAGAGAAATACCTCTTATGTATGACGTACGTGCTGCAACACGTCAGCGTGCGACTGGTTGCGGTGGCGCCGCGAGTCAATTGCAGAGAGCGCGCGCTCGTGATCTTGCTGAATCGCATCGATGCGGTCGTTGAAGGCAAGTACCTACGTCATCGCCGTCGATCGAGGTCGCTTGTGCAAGTGCGTACGCGCTTGAAGTAGGCGTCCTCGGCGGCGTGCTGGCTTTTGCAGCGACTTCGAGTCCGTCCAGAACGCGTACCTGGCCATGATGTACGTATATAATGTGTATCGGAGACGCTTGTGTACTACCTGTGGCAGTTGGTTCAAGATGTACGTCCGGTAGCCCTTCTCGCGCGTGATGGGGTTGGAGCCGTAGTGCGCGTCGTCGAGTGAGAGGCTGCAGAGGTTGGGCAAGTGCGCGAGTGTGGCGAGGTCGCTAAAGTCGCCAATGCCATTGCCAGCTATTGCCAGACTGTGGAGGTTCGTAAGTTTTGCGAGGCCGTCGCCGATTCCTTGGATCTGGTTGTTCTGGGCATCGCGTTGACAAGAGTATAGAAAGCAAGAGCGTACCTGCAGCCACAGCTCGCGCAAGTCGGGGCACGCGCCAAGGTTCTCGATCGTCGTGAGACAGTTGTGGCTCAGCCATAGCTTTTGCAGCTTGGGACACCTACAGCGAGAGCGTCACGCGACAGCATACACGTCGGGCGGTACCCGTCGAGGTTTTCGATGACGCGAATGCGGTTGCGATCGAGCAGCAGCTGGCGCAAGTTGGGCAGCGCAAGACCTTCAATGCGCGTGAGCTCTTGGTCCGAGAGGCAGAGCCGCGTCAGCGTCAGTGACACGGGCGACAGCTGCGAGATGCGCTGCAAGCGGCAGTTGAGCACTAGCCACACGTGGTGAGTGCATTCGCCGCGAGCGCTGCCACGTACTCGTGAGGCTGCATAGGTTGACGCAGCCATCCAAGCCGCCGATCGTTTCAAAGACGCCAAAGATGATCTCGATCGTGACAAGGCGCGCGTGGTCAGTCTCGCCCGTGGCTAGCGTCTACGCGAGTGGCATGAGCGCGCCGAGTGCGACGGCTCCACGTCAGCGTACGATGTCATCCGCGGTCAGCGCCCGGGCCATGCCTGCAAGATACCAAATCCATCATCACGTGTCGTGATTGGCTGAAATGCTTGGCTTTTCCACCAATGGCCCTGCGAGGTGTAGCATCCGCCCATTTCCATTTTTCGCTCAGTGGCGGCAGCAAGCGCGCGGGCAGGCTCCGGCCTCGCACCTCCATGGACATGGCGTCCGATGATGTCAACTTAGCCAAAACCGATGCGATACCGGTCGAGAGACCTCAAGCACATGACGTAACCATAGCGAGAGGTTCTTTATGAGACCGGCTTCTTGCGACGCGTCTTCAGACGCTATCGCGGGAACGACGCCATGGCCACGCAGAGCGCTTGCCGCTGCTACCATTGTCCATGTATCTTTGCCCTACATGTGCTGTGATTACATCAGAAGGCCGCGTTTAGCGCTCTTTGAGCGCGCTGACGACAATTTCTTCGAGGGTATACTGATTATGAGCGTGGGCAAAGGGACGGGCGGGATGGAGATCGAAACGAGGATGAAGCAAAGCGTTCGCGGATGTCCCATGACGCGCCATACACTTGAGCTGAGTTTCGGTCTCCGTCGCGGCTGCGCCGTCGTTGTATGGCTCTATGAACTGTTGGGATGTGTAGAGCGTGCAAGTAGTTCTTGCTCCTGTGCCTAGCAGGACGCTGGAAGCTTTTCTGTGCGAGTCCGTGGCAGCTTTCAAGTAGTCGCCTTGTCGCTTTCTCGTGTCGAGGCTTCGGAAACGAAAGGGTCGTCGCATGTAGTACGAGGCGCAGCCAGAACGGTGCTGCTTTCCATCATGCTTGGCCTATTCTCGGGCTCGAGAAAGGATGGGATTGGACGTACACGAGCTCCAGCCATTGTCGCACCACGTCCATGGGACTGCTTCCAACGTCCTGGAAAGACCTTGCTCAAGCCATCGCGCACTCGTTTCAGCCAAGCATATCGCTACAATACAGTGGACGGGCGGCTAGTAAAGTAAAGCAACAGGGATTATGTCGATGTTCTCGCGCGTACTGTATCAAGGTGCGCCGTAGGGAGTAGGCGCAGCGAGGCGAGTCTCTCGGCGAAGAACATCCGCCTAGCAGCTTCCACGCCAAGCTCCCACGCCTACAATCCTGCCTTGAACGTAATGGTAGGGACTACACCGTCTCGCGAAGTTGAGATCTGATATATGTCCGCGGCCACAGAGTCTGACGAAAGCACGGCGACCGGTTCTTGATTACGTCATGGAGACACTGAGCTCGCTTTTGATTCTACGAGCTGCTGGGTCGCGTTGTCATCAGTCCATCGAGCCGCAACGTCTCCGTACCGTACTCGGATCGGACGCTCCGTTGGTCTTAGCCATTTTCTACCACGATGTTGCGTCGACTTCTACTAATCACAGCCCTCGCGCGAACCGCCGTTCGAAATCTCGCGATCTTCCAGCAAACCGTGTTGTGATTCGCTGTCAATTGGATGGTTTTGACCAATCCCGTTCGCGTTTGGTATCCGGACAGGGCATTTCCATTTTCGTCTTCGTGGTAGCGTGCGGCTAGCGCGAGCCACGGCGGCTGCGGCCACGGCCTCTGTCGTCCCTCTCCCCTGCATGTTTGCATCTTAGTCTAGCGTAGTCTACATCTTATGGGGCAGAGTCGCAGCTCGCAGCCTACGTGTGCCTGCTTGGCCTTGGCGTCCGATGATGCCACTAGCCAAAGTCCGATGCGATACCGGTCGAGAGACCTCAAGCACATGACGTAACCATAGCGAGAGGTTCTTTATGAGACCGGCTTCTTGCGACGCGTCTTCAGACGCTATCGCGGGAACGACGCCATGGCCACGCAGAGCGCTTGCCGCTGCTACCATTGTCCATGTATCTTTGCCCTACATGTGCTGTGATTACATCAGAAGGCCGCGTTTAGCGCTCTTTGAGCGCGCTGACGACAATTTCTTCGAGGGTATACTGATTATGAGCGTGGGCAAAGGGACGGGCGGGATGGAGATCGAAACGAGGATGAAGCAAAGCGTTCGCGGATGTCCCATGACGCGCCATACACTTGAGCTGAGTTTCGGTCTCCGTCGCGGCTGCGCCGTCGACGCACATCGGTGCTCGAACGCGTTAGCTGCAGAGAAAGATGGAGGAGGAGGACGGGGTGCCATGACGTGCGTTGCAGGTGCTGGTGCACGAATGTGCGGACAACGTCAATCGGTGCCCACGGACGGAGCCAAGCTCGTAGCCAGTCAGTCACATTAGTGCAAGTGCAGGTTCAAGAAGACCGGTGGAGGTTGCTAGCGGTTGGCGGCCTTGTGCAGCGAGCTGGCTCGCACCCTTGGGACACCACTAAAACGAATGTCGCTTTTAACGCACTACGTTTTACAACGTTTAGCATGCAAACGACGCCGCATCAGTCAATTCCAAATGCTTTCAAACCGCCGATGGCAAATCGAGTTTTATTCCATGCAACGATCGCGCTAGTCTCACGTCGTCGCATTGGCCATGACAGGACCGCTGCCACAAAGTGGTCCAAGAATACCACGACCTGCTTGCGGCTTGGATACGCAAAGCGCATCACACAGCGAGTACCTGCAATAGACGCACGCAACACCGTGTACGGCTCGTATTACGGCACGGGTCGGCTGCGTGGTATCATTGCGTGCGTCAACACAACCACACAGTGATCGCGGGCAGGCTCGTGCATTGGGTGGTCGTATCAGCTTGGTCGTTGCTTGACGAGCGAGGTCACTTATATGCGTTGGCCACGCCTCTGCCTTGCCGCTTCGAGCCACGAGAAGGGGATATTTTGGCGCGGGTCATACTTTAACGCACTGTTGGACCCATGTGGGTTTTCGCGGTAAAGTAATTTCACGGATCGCGGTCGAGTGAGGATGGACAACCACTCTTGGTATCCACGTGGCCTTCTCGCATGCGACGTTCACGAGCCGCGACCGTGTTTGGTAGCAGATTCAATCTCGGTTCTCGACGCACAACTTGAGCTGTAAAGTCACATATACTAGGCCGCTGTATGATAACACCATCGCGAAGCAGGTGCAGCTGCGATGACGTGAAGGCCAAGTGGCTTCGCGCCAGTTCCCGCGTGTCCCCGCCATCCGATTCGCGCGGGACACTCCGGATGATGCGCCTCGCCCGTACCCTAAGCGTATCGCGTGATCGATCCGGATGGTATCCGGGAGATGACAGATCGGGTCAAAGGATGGGATTGGCCAGTTTATTTAGAGTGGACCCCCATCGGCAGAGATGGTCGTGCCAGAAACGGGTGTTTTCCGACCCTTTTTGACACGCGGCTTGACCTAAAATTCGAAAGCGGCCACTTGCCAATTGCCACCCAAGGAAACGGACCGAGCCCATGTCGCCGCTCAACTACCTCGAGAAGCTCATGGTGTCGACGGACCTGCTGCGGCCACCGCGCAGCAGCACGTACGACGAAGCCTACGAGAAGTGCCACCCGCTGCGCGAGACGACGACGACTGTCGAGTACCAAGCGGCGCCGATCCGCGACGACCACGACGCGCCGTTCTACGTGGCCTGGAAGCACAAGTGGGACCAAGGCACGTACTCGAAGCTCGACATTGCGCTCACGTTCGCCGTCTTCTTGTACGTTAATGCTGCGATGGCTGCTAAATGGCTTATGCGACGTGCTGTGTAGCTGGACGCTGCAGTACTATACAACATTTTTACGCTGGAATGAAAACCGCACTGACATTGAAGGCTTTGTGACAATGCACGACCCGGTGCTCATGCGGCTCAGCCCTGGCGACTACTCGGTGTCGCTCTTTGTCTTGGCGTACGGCTCGGTCTCGATTGGTCTCTACCACGCTCGCCACATGCCCGAGCTCATCATTGAGATGCTGCAGACCAAAGCGTTTGTGATTTGGGTGCGCATGGTACGGCGTCGAGACTATGCTTGGTAGCGACTCGTAGGCTCATCGGATCGTAGGTGGCGTTGTACCTGGTCCCGCTGGAAGCCCCCGTGGGCACGGTGCCGCTCATCGACCCGATTGCCGGCGGCGATGGCATCGTCTTGATGCGCGACCTCTTCTTCTCGGGCCACACGGCAACGACCTTTATGATCTTTCTCGTTGTCCGGCGCCAGAATGTGCTCTGGAAGAGCTTTTTCTTCGTGCTCGCGCTAACGACCGCGATTCTGGTCATGCTCCAAAAGACCCATTACGCCATTGACGTGTACGCGGCGCCCTTCTTTGTCTACACGTGCAACAGTATCGTGTACGACCTCCGTGTTGCTTGCAATGCAGCGTGCCCGCCCAAGCCCAAGCGCGACTAGGCCAAGTAGTTCTAGGTTTAATCATATTTACGTGTTTTTCGGGTGTCGTCCCACGCAATCGGCCCGTTGGGTGTGAGGTGCACGCAGGCCGGAACAATGCAAGTTCTTCGCAGCTCCCGACTGACCCAATACGTACGAATAGCATCGGAGCAGCGTCGTTGCCACACGGTACGAGCTCGTTTGGGGTTGGGCGGACCTGCTGTGGGACCCTCTTCTTGTCACACCATTCCGCGCAAACGCTGGAATGCTCGATATCTACCATCTCTGCGGACAGTGATCGCAACCGCCATCGATGAATCCTCTCCTTCGATGCGCTCAAAGTAACTTTGAAATGCAAAGCAACGACAGCCGAAGCGCCGGGATCAGAGCCCGTGCGCCGAGAAGATACATCTGTGGGACCCCGGCTGGTCCTCAGCGCCCTCTTCGCCGAGCCTTGCCTCAACTTTTAATTCTTGAAGTGTCCGATTACGCAATACCGCGGCGCCTCGTCGGATCGTGCTGGCTCTGGATTCCACGTCATGAATCCGGACTTGGCCTACCGGGCCTGGGAACTCCGGGAACGCGTGTCCAGCGGCCAGCTCATAATCCTGGTTTCAGTATGTCCATACAAATATACAGTGTATAAATGGACGCACGCCACAAATAACAGTATTTCGAGTTGCCGAACCCACACGACTTCGGTCGACGCTAATGGTATAAGCCTGGATGCCACCATATTCCGAGCGGTCGCGAATTGTGCGCCGTCGTCACCAGCGAAAGGCGGACGCAAGGATAAAGAGTCATTTTTAAACGGGATACCACGCTCTTGCAGTCGATGGGTTGCGGCGACTAGAGCGAGGCAAGGCTATTTCAATATCCACACTATTTATGTTTCGATGTGAAATAGTCTGTGAGCCGTCCAGCCAATAAAAGCGCAACCAATTATTGAGCCGACGGGACCAAACCGACGTCGACGATGCTCATGGTTCCGACTCTGCGGCGCCTCGGGCGCCGCTGCCTGCGCCCGCGTCTCTTCTCGCAAGCCGCCGCGCTCGCCGTGGACGAGCCGCTGCGCAGCTTTGAGATGCACCTGGACGCGCGTGAGCCGCGCGAAGCCCTGCGGTTCTTCGAGCAGCTGCCGACGCCGCCGTCGACGCAGCTTGCGCAGCGCCTTGCGATCTTGCTGGCAAAGAAGGCATCGCGTGATGAGACCAAGTCGGCGCTTCGTGTCATGAAGAGCGTCTACATGTACTACCGTCTCGGCCTAGGACGCGGCGCTGACGCGTCTCGTAGGAACCCGCATTTAAAGCCCGACGACTTTACCAAGCTCGCGTTCATTTACGTGGCCGATGCGTGCTACCGCAACCAGATGCTGCCGGAGGCGCTCGAGGTGACTGAAGAAGCGCACAACCTTGGCGTGCGCCTGGACCTTCCGGCGTACAACAACCTCATCGAGGCGCTTGTCGAGGCCGACCAAGTCGAGGAAGCCGAGCTGATTCTTCAAGACATTGCTGCAGGTAGCAGTCGCGTCCACAGTCGCATTCATGTCATAGACATGTGACGTAGGCGATGTCATTTCGCCCGAAGAAATCACATACGCGCCGATCATCGAGGCCTTGATCCTCCAGCGCGAGTTCAGCCAGGCCATGGAGCTTGTCAACCAAGCACGCACGAACGGCGTCCAGTTCTCGGAAGAGGTACTTACGACCATATGCAGCATGGTCTCACGCTCGGCTAGGGCTACAGCGCCATGATGATGATCACGGCCGAGGTCGACGACCAGTCGGAGGCGCTTGAGCAGTTCATCACGTATCTCGACCAGTGCATGCTCGAGGACAACGTCGAGGTGCGATCCGATTTTTCTTATTTGGCGCGTCACCGTGGCGTATATAGATGTTTCAGGAGCTCGACACGCTCACGTTGATGGATGATGACGCGGACCACGGCGACGACGACGATGGTGACAGTCCGTACGGTGACGATGACGACGACGACGACGACGACGATCACCATATCAACTAAGAGCGCCGCGTTCGCTTTTCTCATTAGTTGCTGTAGCTTTAATAGACCGGTCTTTGATTGTACGACGCTGATACGCGCTGCGAAGAGCGCGGGAAGTGAGCGTGCGGGGCAGCGTCTCGAGAAGGTTGTGGAAGCTCGGAATTGTGGTCGCTTGCAGCAGCGTTGGCGAAAGAAGACCAAGAACTAGTGTACACATCGACTCGAACGCCGGTTGCCACCCCGAGGGATCGAGAAGACACTAAGGGGTGTGTGAGACAACGGTGTGTGGTACTAGTACTACAGCACAACCTGGTCCCAGACGAAATGCAGCACGTCCTTGCGGAGGTAGCCCACGAGGCTGACTTGCAGCCACCTGACATCATCCATCTGAAATGCCAGCGTGGCCTTGGGATGGCTACCCGACAAAGAGTTCGCTTGGCGCCTCCAGCATCGCGAGTCGCTTCTTGGCAGCAGGCACGTCACCAAAGACACCTTCAATGTGCTGGTACAATGCCGGCTGCTCTGCGGCCAGTCGTCGCCAGATCTAACCCGAATCGTCGCCTCTCCGCCGCACCGCAGTTGTCTACCCGCTGGGAGCCGGCAACGGCGTCTCCGCGCATCGGGTGGTGCACATGCGTCTCCAGGAGGCGCGCAAAGGCACTCAAAAGGTCAAGGTCACTAGTAAATCGACGTCGGTGGCCGCGCAGGATCGACGTCTGTACCGGCCGCTCTTTTCGGGCCACACGCTCGCAATGGGCAGCGCAAGCGCCACGAAAAACGCCGAGTGACTTCGTGTGAGCACATAGTGCTGGTTCAGTAGCCCTTCGACGCCGTTTTGTAGCGTCAAATTGCCGTCATGTTCGCTGTACTGCGGAAAGTCGTCGCGGATGGCATCTCGTACGAGGCGAGAGAGCATGGGGGCCACCGGCGACCGCCATGGCTCGGACACGCCCAGCAGCGTCTGGCTCGCTTTCAAGCGCCACGTCGTGTCGTCCAAGTTGGCTCGCTCCAAGAGACACTTTGTCCACACCCACGCTCGCAATGGTGCTGGCACACTGCGTCCGCGGACCTGCTGTAGCAGAGAAGCTTCGTGGCGCGCCTGCTCGACATCGAGCAATGGGTCGTGCACCGACGGTGCCACGAACGCGCGAGCGAGAAACGCCAGTAGCGTTGGGATCGCGGACGCATCGCGCGTCGTCATTCTTGCGCCTTGGATGGACGCCTCGAGTCCGCGCAAGAGGTGGTGAAAGCATGGCCGCTCGAGAGCTCGCGTCGACGCCATCTACGTACAGTCGATTATGAGCTCTTGTATACTGATGGGAAGGAGTATGACGTGGTCGGCCACGCTCGCAAGGAGCCGCGGGTGCAACTGGGCGGTGAGTGCGACGAGAGTGTCGTTCGACATGTATGGCTCGCGGACGAGGTAGCCGAGGCTGCGCGTTTGCGGGTAATATCGCATCTGGAACGTCTCACCACAGAGGCCCAGCACGACCTAGGAGCTCCGATCTGGTACCTTGACGATCGACAAAGAGCTCAACCTGGCACGCGCTCGGGTTGGCTTCGAACGCCGTTATGCATTGCGCCAGACTGCTGTAGAGCACGTCGAGTACCTGTATAGAGCGCTCGTCACATTAGGGTCCTCGCTCGTGGCGCTCGCACCTCGGGCCACGCGGGATCGAGTGTCACTTGGTCGATCGCACTGCGTACGGCCCGATCCATCAAGTCCAACCGTTAGCAACCGCCCCAGCTAACTGCCACGTGAGGACGCATCGGAGCATGCCACTTGACGAGCTACAAACCCATCGTGGAGAGAAGAGCGAGGCGTGGCGGCGGGTCGGCAAACTCGTCAGCACGTAGATAATGCAGTATGTGAGATGCGGTGCGACAAGATGCGAGCCTTTTGCCCCGACGCCGTAGTGGAATGCGACGAGAGCGCGGGTTGACGAAGCGGCAGCTGAATAATGCGCTTGGTGCAAAGCAAGATAAACTTGTTTAGTTCCTTTGTACAAAGCTTTGTCTTGCCTCGTTATGCCGACTCGGAAGCGCCGCCATTATGTGTGCCACCAAGTGGCGGTGCATCGTTGATTGCGGCACGTCGTTCACATGGACAGGAATACCTTCAAGGACGTTAATCATTTCCAATATATCGTTCCCAAGAACGAGTACCATGGGGTCTCCGATGCAAGCCGTCGCTGTTGCCAGCTCTACGCCAAGCACTTTAGTATTGCCACCATCAACGCCAACAAGAAGTTTGCGACGGGGCACCGCCCGCCCGAGGACGCGGCGGCCCGACCGGGGCAGGTGCAGTCGTTTGGCCTCGGAAACCTGATGAACTCGGCGTCCGAGAAAGCGGTGCTGCTCCAAAACCTTCGCTGGCAGCGCGAAACGTGTCGTCGGATGGTCGGCGCTTCACCATTGGCGCGCTCAGTCTCTTTGTCCTCGCTGGGAACGCCGTTGCTGGCGTCGTTGCCTAAAGAGTAGTCATCCATACAGCTACGCTAAACGACGTTAACACAGCCAAGTTAAACGACAATACTATTGAGTCACTTCCTAAGCAACCATAACTTGTCATCGTTGCCATTGGGATGGACACACCACGTCGACACGCCAGAGCTCATCCTCTCAAGAGGTGCTGACGGTGCTACAACTGAGCTAGCAACGACAGCGAGGTAATATGTGAGCTATAAGTTTTGATCCGTTGGCTGTCAGGTGCAATTTGGAGAACCGCAGAAGGGCCGGTCGTCAAGACACGTCATGAAGCGAGCGATCTTCCAGCGGCGAATCCGGATAATATTATCCGGAGTAGTGTCCACGTCGCCGGTTTCCGTCGCTCAGTAATCTTTACGATGCAGGCAAGCAACTTTGGGAGCGGGCGGGGCGGCAGCTTTGGAGCGCCGCCGGCGTGGACGCCGCCGTCGCCGCTGGAGAAGGCGTACTACGACACGCTCTTCGTCCTCGCCGACGACGAGAAGGCCGGCGCGATCGGCGGGCGCAGCGCCGTGACATTCTTCTCCAAGTCAGGGCTCGACAAGACGGTGCTGCGCGAGGTACGCCGGGCGCCCGCAGTGCGCCAGCCGCTGACCTTGCACGGGATAGATTTGGACGATTGCTGACGCGCGCCAGACGAGCCAGCTCCTCATTGGCGATTTTTACGTGGCCATGCGCCTGATTGCCATGGCGCAGCAAGGGCAGCCGGCGACCCACCAGCGCTTTGTCGAGCTCGCGCAGACGCCGTTCACGGTCGCGATTCTTCAAGGCGTCCCTCCCCCCGCCATGCCCGCGCCGCCGTCCGCCGGACCCTCGTACGCGATTCTCGAAGACGAAAAGGCCAAGTACAATGGCATCTTTCGGCAGTACGACACGGACGGCGACGGCTATATCCAGGGCCACGAAGCCGCGGCGCTCTTTCAAATGTCGGGCTTGGACCGCGAGGTGCGATGGGTTTGGCGCATGGCAGCGAACTCATGTGGTTGATCTGTAGCGCTTGCGCACTGTGTGGACGTTGGCCGACCGAACGTCGGACGGACGCTTGGACGTGACGGAATTTTACATTGCGATGCATTTGATTGTGTGCGTCACAAAGCGCGATCTGCCGCTGCCGTCCTCGATTCCGTACGACATGGAGCAGTCGTTGCAGTCGAGTGCCAATTTCACCAACCCGACGGCCCCGCGTACCAACAGCTTTGCGCTTCCGGACGGTGGGCACCAGCCGCCGCCACGCACCAATAGCTTTGGACAACATGCCGCGCCAAGCGGCTTTGGTAGCAACTCGACGCCAAGCGGCCTCTCGATGCAGCAGACGCCAGGCCGCACCAACAGCTTTGGCCAGCAGCCGTCTCCTGGTGGCTTTGGCCAGCCGTCTCCGGGTGGCGTTATCCAGCCGCCGTCCCAAGGAAGCTTTGGCGCTCTGACGCCAGGCCGCACCAATAGCTTTGGGCAGCAGCCGTCCACTGCCGGCTTTAGCCAGCCCTCCCAAGGCAGCTTTGGTAGCCACCCATCGCCGGCGCCCGCCATGGACATGGGATTTGATGCCTTTGATGCGCTGGCTCCCACGGTCGCCGAGCCATCGCCGCTGACGGACGTCGGTCCAACGCCCGATCACCATGTCGCGAGTTTGGGCCCCAATGCGCCCGCACCCATGAGCGTCAGCATGCCACCAAACGACGCCTTTGGCGGGTTTGGAGCGCCGCCACCGATGCCGTCGACGGCGTCGCGCACCAATAGCTTTGGCAGCAACCCTCGCCCCGTTGTACCATCCAACTTTGGAAGCCATTCGGGCAGTCACTTTGGCAGCAACTCGCGCCCGCCGCCGTCCCCCGCGCCGTCGGCATCGTCGATGACGTCGACGACCACGCCGTCGACGTTTGGTGGCGGCCTTACGTCTGGCTTTGGCAGCAACTCGGGTGGCTTTGGCAGCAACTCTGGTGGTTTTGGCAGCCACTCGCGCCCGCCACCGTCGCCCGCGCCATCAGCTACCTCGGTGACCTCGACCCCATCGGGGTTTGGTAGCAACTCTGGCGTGTCTACCGGGTTTTCAAGTCCGATGCCGGCACCAACAGGCTTTGGCAGCAACTCTAGTGGCAACGTGAACGACCACTTTGGCGATAGCTTTGGCGGCAGCGCGCACCCTCTGCCGTCGCCCGCGCCATCGGCGTCGTCCGTCACCTCGGCTTCGACGTCGCACTTTGCAAGCAATTCTGGTTTTACTTCAGGCATGCCCTCGAGTGACTCGTCCCTTGCACCCACGGGCTTTGGAAGCCACTCTCGGCCAACTGCCGAAGCGCCTGCACCCTCGCACTTCGGCAGTAGCTCCCAGTTGCCCGACTTTAGCGACTTCCACGCTGTGCCCACAAATGCTCCGACTCCGGACGCCACCTCGACGGATGCTGGTTTTGGTGCCTTTGACCAGGTCCCATCGGCGTCGCCGTCATCGTTTGGATTCCCATCGCCGACGCCCGACACGGTGCCAGCCGCTAGCACGTTTGAAGCGTTTCCGGTACCAAGCAGCACCTTTGGCGACTTTGGCTCGCCGCTGTCCCGTCAACCGTCGATCGTAGCCGAGCCAACACGCCGGGCGTCGCAGCCATCGACGTCGTTGCCGGTGGACACTGGCTTATCCAGTCCGAGTCTGGACGATCAATTTAGCGGACTCTCGCTCTCGACATCGGCATCGACTGCGTTTTCCACCGCGCCGCAGCCACCCACCGGCGTCTCGGCAACGGCGTTGGCCAGTGCGTCGGCTCTGGACGCATCGAACCACGCGCTGCAATCCAACTTGGCAGCGCTGTCTCAACAGCAGGCGCTTTTGAGCATGGTCGTCCGCATCCAAGCCCTCGTGGCCGAGCTGTTGCAGCTGACGATGGCGCGCAACGAGCGCAAGAAGGGCCCGGACCCGGTCGTCGCCGCGTCGCTCCAGCAGCTCATTGATGACGAGCGCGCGCTCATTCGCAACACGTCGGCGGCGCTCGAGCAACTCGAAGCCAAGCAAACGTCGACCAAGCCGCACGATCCGTTTTCATTTTCGTCGCCTTAATACGAGACGGTGTGCAGTCTTCGTTGCCGCGTCTGGGCGTTGGTTTGGGCCTGCAAGAGCGCTCGCTGCTGGAGCTCCAATGTGAGCTCCATGCTGTGGATGTCGGCGCGGAGGGTTGTCAGCGCAGCCCGGAGACCCGTGAGCTGGCTCACGTCCGTGAGCTTGTCGTTGACCGTATGCAGCGTCGACTTGGTGGTGGCCAAGGACGTTTGAAGCGTTGTGAGCTCGGTATCGAGCGATTTGCGCTTGTGCTAGGACACTACTAGTCGAGACGAGAGGCCTCGTCGACGAGTGGAGACTACCTCTTTGGTCTGCAAGCGAGACGACAAGTGGATCTGTGCATCAAAGAGGCGCTGGTACACACTGCGGTCCGACAAGAGCACGTTGTTGAGTGTCTTTTCTCTGAGCTGCACTCGATCCAAATCGTCGTGGAGTCGCTAGACAAGAGATGATGCAGAGTCGAGGGTAGTCATTTCTGTACGGTTGGCAGTGCGCGCAGGCTCTGTACGTCCTCAACTGGCGTCTTGTGTACGAACGACTGCAGTGCCGTGACGTGATCGTGCCATGGCGGTGCTTCTGCGTCCACGCAAGCGTCAGAGTCGGCTGACACAGTAGAGTCCACGTACGGTTGTAGGCGGCCGCGAGAGACGACCGTATTCGCGGCGCGTTCTTTTGAACCTCGAGCGACCACGCGACGGGGTCGATCGCGGGTGTGGCCTCGGGGGCGTCGGGAGCTGCGCCGACGCGATAGACGGCATAGTCGTCGTAGTCGTTATCGTCGGCCGACGAAGCGAGGGCCGTCGACTCGTCGTCCACTTGCCACTCGAGGTGATTGTCATCGGCGCAGTCGTCGTCGTCGTTGTCTTTGATCGGGTGTCGGGTCGTCACAAGGGGGCGCAGGGCCTTGGTACAGAGTGCGTCGAGTGCGGTGCAGAGCGCAAGGCCGTGTCCCGCAAGCATCGACGACGGAGAGAGCGTCGCTGCTGCGTCGCACCCGAGGCGGCCCACAGCGATGAGCACCGCGGTCGCTTGTCGCAGCGGCGGTTCCAATGGGTCGTCGAGCGCTACGTCCAGTGTCACCTCGAGCTTAGAGAAGAGCCACTGCAAGAGCCGCAGGGCATGTGTCCACTACGCATCGTTGACTCTGTCAACGTATCGAGTTGATAGATCGATGATACCTGTTGCGGGTGGCGACTGGCCTGCGCAAAGTAGATGCGTGTAAGGGGCACTTGAAGCGTGTGTAGCTACTTATTTGGATGCAGTCTATTCGCACAAGGAGAGTACGTACGTTGCATTGCAGCAGCGTGAGCTTCTCGTACACGGCATCCATGAGGTACATGGTCGTGGCCGTATCGTCCTACGCAGCATGGTTACCCGACTGTTGTCGATTTAAAGAGTGAGATACGACGCGGGGACTACTCTCGGGGGTTGCCGACATATTGTTGTTGGGAGTCGACTGCCGGCTCGACGTAGTAGTAGTCGGTTCTTTTTGGTTGTCGACGCTTGCTGGGCGCGGGTGGATCTTGGGCACCGCGCGGGATTCGTGGCACGCGCTGCTCACGGCGCAGATCGCAGCCATCGTCGGGCGGTCGTTGGCGTTCAACGACAGCATTTGCGTCACGAGGGACCGGAGTGCGTCACTGTAGATGTCCGAGACGGGGTCGTACTCGCCCTTGTTGACCTAGCCCCCGCATGTCGAGCCATGCATTGTATGTACTAGTAGCACATTGTACCTTTTGGAAGAGACCGTAGAGGTTGAGTCCCTCGGATTTGAACGGCGACCGAAGCATTGCGAGTTCGTACAGGATGCAACCGAGCGACCAAACGTCGCACTTCCAGTCGTAGCCGTCGCCGCGCAGCACTTCGGGCGACATGTACAGCGGCGTACCCACCTTAGAGTGGGCCTCCATCGTGTTTTCACTCAAATGGCGACCGAGCCTACGTGCATACGACGGTAAAGAACGAAGCGTCGGCATGCACCGACCCGAGATCGCCGACTTTGACCTGGCCCGACGACGTGAGAAAGATATTCGCGGGTTTGATGTCCCGGTGCATGATGCGGTGCGTGTGCATGTGGTCGATCGCGGCGGCGATTTGTGCAAAGTACTTCCACACGAGTCGCTCATCAAAGCGCGTGTCCTTCTCGTTGGCCTTTCGAATCTACTTGATCAACGCACTTTGGATGCATCTTGACGCGTGGAAAGGAGAACCTGTCGCTTGAGGTCGCCCGCTTCGGCCCACTCGAAGGCAATGCAGAGCTCGTTGCCCGCAATGAACGCATCGAGATACTGGATGATGTTGGGATGATGCACTGACTGCACGAGCCGGACCTAGACAACGCAGTCGCGTCGCCGCTAAAATGGAAAGCGATGACGACCTCTTTGAGCGTCTTCTCGCGCGCCCGCTTGTCCATGACGTCGATCGCAATCTTCTTGAGCGCGACGAGCACGTCGTCGGCCATGCGCTTGGCGCGGTAGACGACCGAGAACTTGCCCTTGCCGATGGGCTTGAGGATTGCGTAGTCGGTGAGCGCGCCGCCGGACGCGAAGAGAGCGACCTGCGCATCGCTAAACGCCTCCATGCAACCCGATCTTTCCCGATCCGCCGCGACGCTTTGCAGAGTAGTACGGATAACAGAAACACATGTTTTGTGCTCGAATCGCACGAGCGACAAGGTGATAAAGCCGCGCCTCGCATCCATTTCTAGGCCTGTATACAAGAAGAAGGCTGGACACTCCTGCCGTACGCATGCGGCGTTCGCGGCGACGGGTCGATCGCATGGTTGGCGACTACTTGTGGCAACGTGTGGCTATATGTGGGTATATATAGCATGTACCACAATTAATGGTCCGGTCGAGCTGTCCGGTCGATAATTCGAGCTCCAGACCTCCAACGCTGACGCGACGTAGCATTTTGAGCTCTTCAGAGTGCCACCTATCAGCATGCCAAGTTGGAGCGCTTTCATGAAAAACTTTGGTTGGGCCATCGATCCGCCCACGGAGTGACTTGGCGCGATTCGCCTGACACGGGATTGGCCAAAATAATGAGAAAATGGGCCAGTCAAAATATTCTGATGAATGTTTTTTATTGCATAGCTTTGTCAAGTAATATTCAATACCATGTCAAATATATCTATACACGACGGTGCTATCTTGTCCGGCGCTGTTTAAATCCACTGTGCATGTTAAGTCGGATGTGAAATTACACTAAAATGGTATTGCGGTGGCTCTGGCGATATTGCTTAGAGTTGATTGAGTGGCGCAAATGTCATGCGGTGAATCGGGGTCGCGCCATGCTTGTGAATCGCAAGCATGTGTGCTCTACGCATACATAAGCGTCGTCTAGCTCGTCGATGCATCAAGTACTTGGTGCCGTAGCCCTTGTGCTGGCCGAGACCGTACTCGGGGTATTCCTTGTCGTAGGCGACCATAAGGCGGTCTCGCGTCACCTAGCAACAATCAGAGGTTGCGGTCATGGCTGAGTCTACCTTGGCAATGACGGAGGCAGCTGCGATCGAGTAGACGCGCCCGTCCCCTTTGACGACGGTCTCACCTTGGACGTCGAGCGTCGGCATGCGGTTGCCGTCAATGAGCGCGTAGTCCACGGGCATCGGGAGGTTCTCAACGCTCTTGCGCATAGACTCGAGGGTCGCCTAGTCAAGGCGATGTCGAAAAAAGTTGATGGTACTCGAGAGGTAATACCTGGAGAATGTTGATTTCATCGATGCGTGCTGGCGGATTGATCTGCTTGTGCATCAGCTGATGTTCAGAAGGAAAGCAACGTACGTGGACTGCATACTTGATGGCGGGGTTGGACGTGATTTGGGCAAAGAGCCATTCACGCTGCTTCTCATCCAGCTTCTTGCTGTCGTGGATCCCTTCGATGACAACGTCCACGGGCACGTAGCAGGCCGCGGCGACGACGGGACCAGCGAGCGGACCACGCCCCGCTTCGTCCACACCGACGACGCACTTGAAGCCCTTGGCGTACAGTCGTGTCTCAAAGTCTTTGTTGAGCGTACCATGCTTGAACGTCGGTGCCCCGTTGGCCGATGGGACCTGGGCATGTGTAGCTTTGGCTCTGGCGGACGCTGCCTTGGTCTTGGCGGACGTTGGCTTGGCGGATGCTGCTTTGGCGATCTTGACGACTTTGGCTGCCTTCGGCTTCTTCGCTTTGGCCACGGGGCCAGGCGCGGTTGTTGTGGCGGGCGCTGTGCTCAGCAGGCGCGTCGACCGGCGCAACGGCGCTGCTGCTGCTGCGCGCATGATTACCGTCTTTCGATTGGTTGCCTGTGGTAGTTGCGGTTAAAATAGTGTATTATAGAAGTTTTTAATAGTGTGTTGTGTGATACAATACACTATTAAAAACTTTTATAATACACTATTTTAACCGCAACCAATCGAAAGACGGTAATCATGCGCGCAGCAAGATACGACACAACTTGTGTCGTATCTTGCCGTCGTTTCTCGTTGGGGCAAAGGCCGAGATGTGTCGAGCTCGACGACGCATGCGGCCCACGAGCCTATTCGTCAAAACGGGTGCAATGGCATGCTGTTTCGCTGCCCACTCTCGTCTCTTGCGATGCAGCATCCATGACAAGTGCAGATGTTTCGTTTGGTGGTTTCCACGGGCACGCTCTTTTTAGCGCATTTCGTCGACAACATCGACCACGACGACTGGGGCATGGTGTCGGTGACCGAGTTTGATAGCTGGGTCGTTCGCCATCGGGGCGAGACCGCGTCGGTAACGACGCACCACGCCCATGCCGACGACATGTATGTACGACGCCGAGCCGATCGCAGTCCAAGTGTACAAGGACATTGCATCCTACATCCAACACAAGCGCGCAAGATTGGTCAGAGAGCAGCAATGGCCGGGCGACTTGTGATCCGAATACGGCGCAGCGACGACATCATGGAGAAAGCCAGCGAGCAATGACAAAAGTTGCTTCTGCAAAAAGGTCTCGCGCCGGTGCGCCAGGTCTCATGAACGTGTGGGGAGCGCACCAAAAGCGGATCTTGCTGCAGAGGAGGCAGCGGCGAGTCTCTTGACTGATAAAGTGCACACTGGACCCACGGATTTCAACGCGACACAAAGGCGAAGGGCATGGGCAGGTTGCCGTAGTGTGACTAACACCGCCGCTCGGCGCGGTTGACCGAAGACGCGGGCATATGCGCAAGCCTTTTCGTACTCTTACTGTAGTACGCCGCAGAGACTCCTAGGTGTTGCGCGGAAAGCACTTGCTAGTCGAATTACACAGCTTGGCCGTCGTGGCCCCATGTGGGAAGACCGGTGTGCGGTTGCCAACGCCTATATTCAACCTGCCGTGCGACCTCTTCAGCGAAGTGTATGGGTGGCAACGAAACCCCGTTGGTGCTGGACCTAGTTTATCGTATCGAGCTACTACATCCCATTGTTTTTCTTGACGCCAGCGCTGGCGCCAATGCCCATCGATTTGCCCATCCAGTGGATTCGTATGATATGCGTTCGGTTGTTCACCCCGTCATGAATTTACTGCGCTAAAAGTGGCTGCAATCGACGGCCACGAACGACGGAGATCTTTGCGTCAAGCGCAGCAGCATTCAAACCTTCCACCCCATCCCCGCTTCATCCTCGTGCGCAAACGATGGCTTCGACGCCTGCATGCATGACGGCGCGCCGTCGCCGTACAGTTTCACCACTCAAAATCTCTGCGGTAGACGATATGCTCCCGAGATACTACTGGGACAATATTTCAATACACTGTAGACAGATTCCAGCTTGATTCTGCGTTTTTCCAGCCGTTCCGAAAACCAACCGACGAGTGGCCGCGTCCCCAGAGGCGCGGCCGTCGGTCATCCAGGCCGCGGCAGAAGGAGGCCTCGTCAGTCGACGCCTTCGCCTGCTGCGAGCCGCGCCATCAGACCAAGCGACGCTAAGCGATGAGGAACTCATCGCCACGCTGCACAAGACGACGTATGCGAGGAAGACGACGCGACGACATGCTCCAGCCAGCCAACAATAAAAACAACGGTCAGGGGGACCACGACCAACATCAGATCCAATAGAACCAACATAAGCACAGAGCACAGAGCAAAGAGCAAAGAGCAAAGAGCAAAGAGCAAAGAGCACAGAGCAAAGAGCAAAGAGCACAGAGCACAGAGCACAAACCAGCCAGCCGCCACCGCCGCCACCGCTAACGCCATCAGCCATCAACCTTCAGCAGCAAGATCCATATCATCCGACCCCGAAAACCAAGACATCGACCCAAACAAAGAATTCAAATCCAACGCGCCACGCCGCCAAAACGAAAACAAATTCATCCAGTCAACCGCCCAGACGAAAACACTTTCATGTACGACGACCGACCTAGACGCCAAAACAAAACAACTCGACCAGTGTCGGCACCACGAGCAATCAACCTTCATCAACATCAGACCACCCGACATTTCGCGTCGGTCGCCAAGCCAACGACTTCCATCAGCCCGCGAGTTCAAGTGAGCACCCCCTGTGTACCTTCGGGTGCTGCAGCTCCAGGTCGGCCCACGGTCGCATCCAAGTGGAACTCCGCAACACGGGTCTGGCTCATGACCGCGGACGCTGCTGGTCGATCAAGTACCGGTAGCTTGACGATGGACCACATGGAAAATGAAACCCATAGTGGTAATCCCGGTAATACACCGCCTGACAAGACAGATTCCAGCTCAAATGATATTTAAAAAAGGTGCGCTGTAACTGGCCTTGCGCATGTGCACACAACAATCCCAAGCAAACCGTCGTCGAAAAGTTCCCGCCGTCCAACAACGTTTCAGTACCGAGACTGCACAACCTTTGTGTGGCACGTCCTGCCAAAATCGTTTGACGATCGAGCCGGGTACCAGCTGCGGCGTTTCGCGGCAGTCAATGCTGAACGGCGCGTCGGCCCCACGGTGGTCGGATTGGGGCGACGTATAGAAGCCAATCAAGTAGCGCTGTTTCACAATAGTTCGTATGATTTGATTGGGCTCATGCAATCTCGCCTTAAACCTAAATCAACAAGAACAACACAGCCAGAATACGCACGACAGTACGCACGGCTCCGTACGAGAAGCCGAGAGGGCGCGGTATACGGAGTACGAGCGGTAGTGTCAACACGTGGGTCCTGGTTGATATGGGCGCGCGCCCTGTGTCCTGAAAATATCGGCTCATTCTGCAATTGTGTTGGTCTCGAGCACATGGTCCGCATCCATTCAACGTTGGCGCTCACGCTTGTGGCGCTCGTAGCCACCGAGACAACCGCTACACGGGACGACGGTGCCCACCTCTGGAACCACAGCGGCGGCAAATTCTGGGACTGGTGGAACTCGTGGCACAACTGGCAGCGCCCGCAGCCCACAAAGACTCCGTGCCCCGGGCCGACGCAGTCGTTTCGCCCTACGACGAAGCCTTGGACTACCCATCCGTCGACGACCAAGCCCAGTACGACGTCGCCGTCGACAACCAAGCCAAGCACGACGTCGCCGTCGACGACCAAGCCAAGCACGACGTCGCCGTCGACGACCAAGCCAAGCACGACGTCGCCGTCGACGACCAAGCCAAGCACGACGTCGCCGTCGACGACCAAGCCCAGTACGACGTCGCCGTCGACGACCAAGCCAAGCACGACGTCGCCGTCGACGACCAAGCCAAGTACGACGTCGCCGTCGACGACCAAGCCAAGCACGACGTCGCGGTCGACGACCAAGCCAAGCACGACGTCGCGGTCGACGACCAAGCCAAGCACGACGTCGCGGTCGACGACCAAGCCAAGCACGAGGTCGCGGTCGACGACCAAGCCCAGTACGACGTCGCGGTCGACGACCAAGCCCAGTAGGGAGGGAGGCGGTCGACGACCAAGCCAAAACAAAAACGGCGCCGTCGACAACCAAGCCTAGTACGAGGTCGCGGTCGACGACCAAGCCAAAGCACGACGTCGCCGTCGACGACCAAGCCAAGCACGACGTCGCCGTCGACGACCAAGCCAAGCACGACGTCGCCGTCGACACCAAGCCACGTACGACGTCGCCGTCGACGCCAAGCCAAGCACGACGTCGCCGTCGACGACCAAGCCAAGCACGACGTCGCCGTCGACGACCAAGCCAAGCACGACGTCGCCGTCGACCACGGAGCCGAGCACTGTGTATTGATATACGTTACTGTAGTGTAATTGCATAAGTTTGACATGAACATCCGGTCTTATGAGGCGCGGTACACCGCGCCTGCAATAGTCGAGACGGTCCTCTATGAGGTAACGGCTTTGCGAATTCGACGACTGTCGGCAGTGCTGTGCATTCTAGTTTTCGATCTCCGCTAAGCAAAAGGTTACCGCCATCAGGAGGCGAAGAAGTCCCATGTCATGGTTCCTCTTGAGCTATTCCCCGACGAATCGCGCGCGTAAGTTGCGAACTCGTGTGGCCGGTGTGCGCTTGCATCACGGAGGTGGCTAGTGCGAGACGCGGCCCAAAGGTGCTCACGTTCACGACCGGATGGCTCGCCCGAGATCTCGTTTACGGCGCCGAAGTACAAGTGCACGTTTGCGTACGCATCGGTGTACGAGGCCCGCTCAAACATGAGCGTTGTGCCGCGTCGGTTTGTCCTTTTTCGCCACAACGGCTCGGCGACGGCGGGAGAAGTCGTGGCGGTGCGATGGTCGGACAAGACTCAAGACTCGAAACAGCGTTAAAGCAGCATATATTTGACAAAGCATTTAACACAGCATTTGATGTAGGATTTCCATGGATGCCGCCATCGATGCCGTCACTTACTTTGATGCTCGCTCTTGTGCCACATTGTGAAGCATTTATTAATGGTCTTAAGGCCTAGAGAGAAAGTTGACCGTGCTCTTTGCGATGCAGTCCAAACTCTTTCCCAGCTTGAGCCGCCGTGCCTCGAGCCGCTTCACGGCTTCTTCGTCGGATATGTTGACGGAGAAGGCAAATGATTGCACGCAGCAAATGCGCCTGCTGGAATAGCGCCGCTCGTTTCGATCATACCACGTGGCATTTGGTAACTGCTGGATGGCGACGACAGACATACCACTATTGGAGCCGTAGACCGGGTCGCGCTGAAAGCTGTGGCCGTCCGAGCCAGCTTGCACTTTCTCGGCCACGATGCTCGACACTGCCTTCTCTGCGACGCGCAAGCCCGTGAAACGTACGATCATCTTTTGGTGCGGTGCCCATACATACAAGCGATCTGGTGCGCTTTTGCACCGATGCGGGATATTTTGCAGATGCGCCTCCCGTCGTCGGTCGCTAGCTTTCTCTACGACAATGTCGCCGCGCCGTACTCGGTCCACATGTCGTCCGTTCGTGCCCTCTGGCCGATCTTACGCGCTTGCGCCTGGTTTTGTCTTTGGCTCGAACGCAACAACCGTGACTTCGCTCGACGCTGACGCAACTTCCCGCTGCCGCGCTCGCGATCCGGGCAGCAACTACCGCACGACTGCATATCCGGCACTTGGCTCGTCGCGCTGTGGTGCCATCTGTTGCCGCGTCGCTGGTCGCTCTACGCGAAGACCCTTGGTGTGCACGCTATACCTAGTCCCTTGCGCAATCTCGAATCACGACCACTAACGCTCCTCGTCGACGCACCGGCCACGCCTCACGAGCGCATTAGGAAGTCCACCATTTCTTTATAATGCATGGAATATAACTCAGTTCAACAACAACTGTTGGAGCCGTAGAACCCTTGGCGCCAAAGGTCCGGGAGCGTGAGCACACGAGTCATCTTGTGCAGAGTCTTGATGGGCTTGCCACCGAGCGTCCTCGTAGGGACCGGTGCGGCTATTACAGTATCGGTGGTAGTTGGTGGAGGGGTCAACGGATCAGAGGTCGGATCAGAGGTCGCGTCTTGAGGAGGGCACGTCGACGCAGGCCACGGCGATGCGCCAGGTGCGGCACTGTCCATCTCGAACCGTCCCGCCGCAGAGTAGGTAGTAGTGTGAGATTGGGACGCCAACCCAATCGCGAAATCTAACACCATGGTAACGAGTTTAGGTCCAAAAGTACGCTCCAATTGCTGTAAATTGCTCAATGGATGTGTGGCCATCCAAGAGCGTGCTCGCGCCGCGGTCTTCGTAGTTTTCGCGCCTGCGCTCGTCCTCGGGAGCCTTGACTTGATTGAGCAGTGCACGACGACATTCGTACGTGGATGAGGATTCGAGTTCCTGCCCTGATGGCTTTGCTCCACCCACAAGCTGACAGTGGCGTTCGTGCACTGCCTGATCATGGAGATGCCGATGGTGTCTTCCACGTCGCCCTTGGCACGCGACTTGCGCCCGACGACTTACGTCTCGAGGAAAAGGTGGAAGGCTTTCCCGCACACGGTACGGCCGGGATCGGTGGGGTCTCGGGCCACATCCCATTTCTGGAACTCGCGTGCCTTGGCACGAAACGCAATTTTCGTCGCCTTGGGCCGAGTCTCGGCCGCCCTCTTACGTGCACGCTACGGCATCTTGCATCTCGAGCTGCCTAGTCGCGGTGCTTAGGATCGTCAAAGCAGCGGGCGGGAGGAGGCCGCGGGCTGGCACTTCTTAGCAGTGGCGGGCGAGCGCGTCGTGGCGGCGGCGGGCGCGTGGCGGTGGCGGGCGCTTCGTGGCGGCGGCGAGCACGTCGTGGTGGTGGCGGCAGTCTTGAGCTTCTTGGCGGTGCCGGTCGGGTGGTCCGTGGCGGCGGCGGGATGGCGCTTGTTGGTCGCATTAATCGGTCTGGAAGTAGACGGGCGCTCGGGCGCCGCGGAGTTGAGGCTGGCCGCGGGTGGCCGCCTTGTGTTGTTTCAGCATCGTTCGGCGCCGCCCCAGAATTGCGAAGGATAGACGCCAACACAAGGCCAAAACAATTCCATCGAACGAGCCAATTCATTTGCACACAGGATTATTTTTAGCCAATCACATATCTTTGGACCTGGTGGGATGATATCCGCGTGTATCGCCTCCATGTCGCCTGCCACTCGAGGGACGCTCCACAAGTGACGTCAATACGGTGGCTGCTTGTAGACCCGTGGCGATGATGGCCACGCCTGCCCCAGCGGCTTCCCAAGTTTGCAAGGTTGGTGCCCACCCAGTAGCGACGTCAAGGCAAATACGAAGATCCATCATCCCCAGTACAATCTATCAATACTAGTACAACATTTACGAGACCCAGTCAAACCGAACGCCTGTGCTCGGACCAAACATTTCCCGTTTGTCGAGGGTCGAGTTGCAGTCCACCGCGAAACGAACTACTACTACACCATGGCATTTGTCTTGGCCCTCGTTCGTTCGGCTAGCGTTACGTTGACCACCAGGCAGAGAACGCAAGGATGCAGTCGTCTGGCCGTCGAGGCCGGTGGCGCCAAGTGTATGAAGACCCGTGCACTGTGTCATTTCCGAATACGCGTGCCAAGCACAAGACGCAGGTCCAGTACACCGTGTCCATGCCGCCTGCAAAGCAGCGTCATGGGTGGAAACACTGGCAACGGAATCGGTAGGCTATTTTCAAGGGTACTACATGTTTGGTGTATCCGTAGATTATCCTGTCGTTCTCGTTTTACAAGGCCGAGGTGCGTCAGTGCTTGCACGCGCCCATGTCCATCCAATGGATTCGTACGAGATGCGTTCGGTTGTTCGCTCCGCCGTGCATTTGCCGGCGCCAAAAATTGCTGCCATCGACGACAGCTATCGACGACCACCATCGAACGACGGAGATCTGTGCGACACGCTGGATCGAGCGGTGCGGCGTCGAGCGCAGGATCACCTAGTACCACGGTACTATCGTTCGCGCTTCTCCTCGTGCGCCAACGACGGGCTTCGGCGTAGGCATAGTACATGACCAGGAACTGGACATGGTACATGACAGCGTGCCGTCGCCGCGTAAATATCTCCGCAGGCCATCTCCACCAGCGGAAAGAGTTGATTGAAGCGGCAGAGTGATGGGAGGGGATAGGGTGTTTTTCAGACAGAGTCGGAGATACAAATAGAGCGCTGGGAGCGTGCCACGTCACAGCCACCATCTGACGAAGGTGAGATCCGGAACGAGTCGGAACTTCGATTGTCCAGCTTCTTGGGCGCTGATATCTCGGTAAAAGCAGATCGACCTCCTGGACAGTCGCGTCACGGGCGGTGGACCTTCCCAACGAACGATTATTATACACGTGTAACACGACACTGAACGTGAAGCAGAGACGGCGCGCGAAGAGCCAGCGGTACGAGAGGCGGTGTCACCACGTGGTGCGCTGGCCCAGGACGCGCAACATGGGCGCGGTATGCATGCACTTGGACTGTTGGATCATTCTTCAATTTACTTGGTCTCGAGCACCATGGTCCGCATCCACTCGACGTTTGCGCTTACGCTCGTGGCGCTGGCTGCCACGGAGACGACCGCGACGTGGGGCGACAGTGGCAACCTCTGGAACCACGACGGCGGCAACTTCTGGGACTGGTGGAACCAGTGGAACAACTGGCAGCATCCTCAGCCAACTAAAACGCCGTGCCCGCAGCCGACACCGTCGTTCCGCCCTACAACGCAGCCTTGCACGACCAAACCATCGACCACGAAGCCTTGCACGACCCAGCCGTGGACCACCAAGCCTTGCACCACCCAACCATCGACTACCAAGCCTTGCACGACCCAGCCGGGGACCACCAAGCCTTGCACCACCACCCAACCATCGACTACCAAGCCTTGCACGACCCAACCGTCGACCACGAAGCCTTGCACGACCCAGCCGTCGACTACAAAGCCCTGCACCACCCAGCCGTCGACGCCTGCCCCGACGACGGGTGTCCCGACACCGACATCTACGCCTGCCCCGACGACTGGTGTCCCGACGCCGACCTCGACCCCTAGCACGACGAAGCCTTGCACGTCTACACCTGCCCCGACGACGGGTGTCCCGACGCCGACGTCGACCCTAGCACGACGAAGCCTTGCACGTCTA